AAATATGCCTGGAGTCAAAGTAAAAAGTGCTGGTGAAGCTCTACTCCTTGACATCATTCCACAGTATTTAGGGAATAAAAAGGGGAAAAAAGATGAAAGACTAAACAAAAAAGCCATTCTGGAATTGGGATTCAGAACAACCTCCATCCTTTACTCAAGGCAGCACCTAAAAGACAGACTTCAACTTTCTCTTCTGAGACAGGAAGACTGGGAGCAGTCAATGCTGTTTCTATAATGTGTTCTAACAGAAATCAGAATAATTATCTCCGTGCATCTTTCTGCTGTATTAAGTTCAGCATGAACTTAATTAGCTGAAATAATAAGGTATATATTTTCTGAGCTGCACAGCAAAAAATGATAGTACAGAAAGCCCTGTATGAAGATATATTCTGCTACTACTGGGAAAAAAGAAAAAAAAAAGCAGCTTTTATTTGAACACACCAAACCATGGAAGGAGCATATATTCTTCTAGGTATTCTGGAAATAAAGCACCCATATGGGAGGGATGGTGCTGCCACTAAATTGAACCTAAAAGATAGAATACCGGGAGAAGAAAAAGATGGTTCATGTTCAGTATGCAAGCATATATATTGAGGTGACAATACCAATCTGTGCTAAGAGAGATGTTTCACATATTTATTAAAAGTCAGTGAACAGAAAGGTTGAGAGAGGAGCAGGAGGTGATCTGACAGAGGTATATAAAGATAAGAGCTCCTGAAAAGGTAAAGCAAATGTCTTTAGAGTCGCCACCACCTATAAAAATGAAAAGGAACACAAGCTCCAATGAAAGAAAACATTTTACTGTTATTCAAGTAAATAGCTCAGTGAGATTCAAGACAGCTACTAAGACCCTGTATTAATAACAATACCCCCTAAGTTAGGACAACCCCCCTGATGTATACAAGGCACCCACAAACTGCTCTCAGACACAGAGAAGCCTCCCCCAAACATCTTGTTTAAAACTGTCCATTTGAAGATTTTTTCCACGGCATCAGGTCTAGCCATTTCTGCAGCTACTTGAGCAAGAGTAAGCTTGTTCTTCATAAACCAATGCAACAGAGAAATGCTTCTTTCCAATTGGCACAGTAAGTAGAGGAAGACTTTCACAAAAGAACAACTTATTTGTTCATTTAACAAAGCTCTGTCTCTCTTTCTCCTCCTGACCCAATTAAAAAAAATAAAAGATTTTCTTGTGTGATATATACAATAAGCCTTGGAAATGAACACACAACACCCCTAACTATCAGGCTGCAGAAGGTAATTGGGGATTTCATTGCGGAGGACCAAGGACACCGGTTGTTAAAGGCAAAGCTCTGTATCTTGGTTATTGTATTTTTGTGCCAAAGAGATATACAAGTTTTAAAGTAGAGCTATATTTGACTTCATTGCATCTCTCCTTCCTAAGACTGGCACTATCACGATAGCAGTTGCTCTAAAGCAAAAAAAGATACTCATCATGTAAGCTAATCTTAACTATCTAAAGTCTTCAAATGAAAAGCTATGATAATAAACGGTAAACAAAACACAGGTAAAAGATAAATGTGAACTTTTTTTAGAAGGTTATTTCTTTTTCAAGTAACATTTTCTTAAACATCTCTGAATTACCATCCTTTCCAACACATAAAAGACATTATTTAACAGAACAAAATATATTTAAAAGAATTTTAGCCCATAATCTCAGTTTAACGCACATGTTCTGACATAAGTTAATATTATTAATTAATATTAATAGCCCAAATTAAAATATTTCTGAAAAAAGGCTTCAAGTAAAATAGTATCCACAATATAGACTAAAAACATAGCTGATGGCTGTCTCACTAGACCTGAACTGTAGAGTGCACCTTCTGCTCTGGACAGCGTTGAGAATTTGTCAAGAAAAGGCTAAGATCTCCGAGCACTCAAGCTGCCAAGTGCTCTCAAATTAAATCAGTTTGAAGCGGTTTTCATTAAGATGGATTGAGTGTGGCATCGTGAGAAACACTCTATCAAATGTAGTGTTTTACTTAGTGATTAAGTATATACCAGTTGATGAAGCTACCCAAATCCTTCGTAATCCCACCACTCCAATAAACATTTAATGAGTATATAAGTTCAAAAAGCCTAGCAGAGGATTTAAACCTTCAATCTTGTTTTTATTTACTCTTGGAACTCAATTTCTCACTTCAAGTGAAGAATGCTGGTGCCTGAAGCTCATCTGTTGCCCTGGTAAAATTAAGTGCCCTCCATAGTATAAATTAGCAGACAAGACATACAGGTTGCAATTTCTCCTAAGCTTTTTTTCTTATACTGATATACATATTGAATTATTTTATGAAATGCAATTATAAAAATATAAAATAATGTATCCCTTTGCTCAGTTAAAATTCCAGGGGGCAGTACTGAAAAATTTGTTTGTAACAGGAAAAAAGCAGTAAAAATAAATGGTATTTATACATTCTCATACCTTTGTTTAAAGCGAAAATGTTACAATGAAAATAATGTATTTCCACAGATTAGTTTTGGGGAAGAGCTTTCAAAAATTAAGGCAATATTTGAAAAAGAAAAAAAACACAAAGATAACACTTTCCTAAATATATAACTTTATCCCAACGAGGACTGGTCTGAATACACTGCAAAATACTAGAAATGTAAGATGACATGAATTTCAGATGTTCTACGTAAGTAGCATAAGAAGTGTTTTGAGTATTAAAAAACTAAGTAACTGCACTGCATTAATATCAGATTTACAGGTATTAAAAAAAAATATTTATGAAAGCCCCTGATAGTGTCTTGTCCATTATTATACTGACACACTGTCAACCATTGCTGATGAAATGACACAAAGCGAACTTCCCAACTCAAACACTTTTCTTGTTGAATTAATATGATTTCTTTTAATCGTGCATTAAAGCCTACTTTAATGAGCTATTAGAAGGTAATACTTTGCCACTGAATTATTATGTATCCATTTATGCTCTGAAATCTGCACAAAGACATGAAAATATTCACTGAACTTAGAAGGTGCACACAACATGTTAAGTATGTGTTAACTGGAGGTAAACACCGTAGATTCATAACACTGCATTTACTAGAGCAGACCCTAACATAACATAGCAGTTCCTTCCAATACGAATAACTACAGGAAGCCAAAACATTCCTCATTTTAAAATTAAATATCTATCGCGACAACAAAAAAGCAAATTTAAACAGCACGTTTTTCTTGTTTGTGTTTCAGCTTTATCTACGCTTAATTATGCAGGGGTTTGGGTTTCTCCTTAGTGAATTCAAGTCACCAAAACTTAAATAAACTATCCCCATTCTAATTTTATTAAAATACTGATTTTAAAACTGTGCACGGAATAACAGAAACTTGAGATGTCTGGTTGGATGTACAGAAAAACTAAATAACCAAATCCTAGTACTGGAATTTACTTGGCAGATACAGGCTGTACAAAGGGAAAAAAAAAAAGTGCACTGTATTTCAGAGACCTTTCAATTTAAATTTACAATTTCATTAGCAATCCTTCAAAGGAGTTACCAACATGCAATGTTGAACTTGTCAACCACAAGCCTTGCAGTCAGGGTTATCTGGTGCTAGGACACCATTATTTCAGGAAGAAAAGGGAGGGGGAGCAAAAAAAGGAAAAAAAAAAAGAAAAAGAGTAGCTCTGATGACTAAAGAACTCCAATAAAAATACAGCCTGAATGATTAGAAAGCATTAGTTATTCACTGTAATTTCAACAACAACAACCAAAGTATTTTAGTCAGTCAACTAAATGAATATAACTCTTCACAAATAAAATGAAGACTCCAAAATGCGGTGACTCCAATCTTTTAAAGATGAAACATTTACAGTGATTTCCATTTCCCCCCATATTAAATAATTTTAATAAAGACTTACATCTCTAGCTTTCCCATAGAAGGCTTCTTGAAAAGCAGCCTCTAATGATCCAATAAAATAAACAGGATGGCAGTCACCATATCTATTTGAGATAAAATTTCCAATTAATAAAAAATTACAATAAGTAATTTCAATATTCTACATGTTCACATATTCAGCAAATATAATGTATTGGTTAAATCTTTAGAAAGATGTAGTACTACACCAAAGACATGAAAATATTCACTGAACTTAGAAGGTGCACACAACATGTTAAGTATGTGTTAACTGGAGGTAAACACCGTAGATTCATAACACTGCATTTACTAGAGCAGACCCTAACATAACATAGCAGTTCCTTCCAATACGAATAACTACAGGAAGCCAAAACATTCCTCATTTTAAAATTAAATATCTATCGCGACAACAAAAAAGCAAATTTAAACAGCACGTTTTTCTTGTTTGTGTTTCAGCTTTATCTACGCTTAATTATGCAGGGGTTTGGGTTTCTCCTTAGTGAATTCAAGTCACCAAAACTTAAATAAACTATCCCCATTCTAATTTTATTAAAATACTGATTTTAAAACTGTGCACGGAATAACAGAAACTTGAGATGTCTGGTTGGATGTACAGAAAAACTAAATAACCAAATCCTAGTACTGGAATTTACTTGGCAGATACAGGCTGTACAAAGGGAAAAAAAAAAAGTGCACTGTATTTCAGAGACCTTTCAATTTAAATTTACAATTTCATTAGCAATCCTTCAAAGGAGTTACCAACATGCAATGTTGAACTTGTCAACCACAAGCCTTGCAGCCAGGGTTATCTGGTGCTAGGACACCATTATTTCAGGAAGAAAAGGGAGGGGGAGCAAAAAAAGGAAAAAAAAAAAGAAAAAGAGTAGCTCTGATGACTAAAGAACTCCAATAAAAATACAGCCTGAATGATTAGAAAGCATTAGTTATTCACTGTAATTTCAACAACAACAACCAAAGTATTTTAGTCAGTCAACTAAATGAATATAACTCTTCACAAATAAAATGAAGACTCCAAAATGCGGTGACTCCAATCTTTTAAAGATGAAACATTTACAGTGATTTCCATTTCCCCCCATATTAAATAATTTTAATAAAGACTTACATCTCTAGCTTTCCCATAGAAGGCTTCTTGAAAAGCAGCCTCTAATGATCCAATAAAATAAACAGGATGGCAGTCACCATATCTATTTGAGATAAAATTTCCAATTAATAAAAAATTACAATAAGTAATTTCAATATTCTACATGTTCACATATTCAGCAAATATAATGTATTGGTTAAATCTTTAGAAAGATGTAGTACTACACGCCATCTGTCCCCCAAAATTCAAAAGCTCTAAGTAACTAACTGCTACCTTACAGATTTTGTCATAAAAACTTTCTGCTTATATACATAGGCAACTTAAGTTTTTCAATCATAACTTATTTCCTCTCTTTATTATATTCTTAAAGGTTAATTGAAGGCTATTCTTGTATTAGGCATTAATGCATCTCATATACATAAATAAGCATTTCAACACTGAGAAGTGAAAACAGAAGTCATAAAGTTTGCATTACTTTGCAGTATATTGGTTTGCAGCTTCTAGCTATTTGATGAACTATACAACTGTTTAACAATGTATGATTTGGTGGTATAAAGTTTAAAAAAGCATTTCTCTATTTTTTAAAATCTTCTTAAAAAGATTTATCCAACCACTTGATTATTGTGAAAACTCTTATTGCAACTCTGAATGTATTTTTCAATTTTAATCAGCTCAGGTCTTCTGTTCCTGTATATCAAATTAAAATTACTATACGTAATCAGTCTTTATCATCCTTCTGGACCCTTACATAATTAAGTAATGATATTAATTAGTGGCAAATTAAATAAGGCAAGAATCTGTCACTCTAACTTGGACTGAGAAATAATTTTATTTCACAAACAGTTCTAATGAATAAATAAATCAGAATAAAATGCCTAAACATGCTACGAACCCGCAAGAAAATATGTACATTTGGTTTATTTTTATTTTCATTACATACTAATTTTTACTTAGTTTGTAGCAAGAATTGCATGGTTAAATAGGCTAGGCTTACCTTGAAGAAAACTCAGCTGTAAATTGTAGTAAGGCATCTCCTTCATTTTCAGCATTTTCTGGCACTTAAAAAAAATGAAAAATATAAATTAAATGCAACCTTATGGAAACAGATTTTAATACATGAGCTCGTTTGCTTCATGGATTTTTTATGTTGACAGTTTACTGAAGTGGTTACCAAGAGACTGTATAAATTTCACGAAAGACTATCAACTATGAACCTTTGGAAAGATGTGAAATTTCCAGGCACCCTCATGAATATATTCAGGCTTTCCAAACAGCAAAATCCTCAGGTCCAGTGTAATGTGATATATCACTTGTTCAGTTAACACTCTGGACTTACTTTAATACACTAAAATGAAAGGACGGTCTTGAAAGGTTTGACCCACTATATTGCTCATTACTTTTTTCTTCTTTTTCTTTATTTTTTTTAACTTTCTATACATACTATTAAATCATTTTCCCTATTATTACATATATTTGCTGTCAAAAACCTTCCAAGGTAAAAACACTAGTGCAATCCTAAAATGAAGAGTATATAGAATTGCATATAGGAGGTAACTGATTGCTCCTGCTCAATCATTTTCGTAATTCAAGGACAAATCATTGCTTGAGAAACTTGTTTAATGTAAATGACTATTAATATTAATCACCATAAGATGCTGAAGATAAAAATCTGTAAAATTTTCAGAACAGGGAAGTGGAAATCCAGTTATCTACAGGAAAATTTTGTTAGCGACCATAATTTCTCTGAGTTTAATTGTTATTCTGCAACTGTAAGCTAACTGTAAGGTTAAAAAACTTCCTCCATAGGGAGACATTTTCATCATTGCCAATTAAGTGTGCAGTATTTTCATTTCATACATCCATCAGACATGACATTCAAACTACCATTCCTATCAAAAGATACTTTTCTGTTTCTGATTATGCACAGCCATCGTACCTCTGCCTTCACTACTGCTCTACAAAGCAGTTAATTGTAAATTAACTGTCAACTCTTACTCATTGGCGATTTCCTCAAGGCAGATGATGCTACTCCAAACATTTCTCCATCATCAACTCCAAACTCCGTAGCATCTTCAAAGTCATCTCCATCACTGTCACTAACCATGTGGACATCAGTGCATTGCTATTTAAAAACAAAACCCAAAAAGGACCATAAGCCTCTGTTACAGACAGCATCCTTAGTGAAATACCTAATACCTACAGAGTGAAAAATACTTACAAGCTTCTGTAAAAACACTCAATACACAATCTACTTTAGCATCACTTGCATGGTGGGGGAACAGTCCTCGGAAAGGACTATCTATCATTTGCAATTTCTGACCTACAAATTTAGTCCCCATAGTCCTAACTTGGCACTCCAGACTACTGCATGTTGAACCTCAAGCTGACTTATTTGGCACACAGGACACAAAGGACAAAAATCAACATTTTTGTGCAAGCAGCTAAGGTCCCATCTGGGCCTCCAACTCCCACCAGCAGACCTTTTGGACTTCATGTCCTCTGAAACATAAAGCAGCTTCAGAAAAACCTTGGTTTTAACTTTTCAATGTTAACTTGCCTTTAAATTGAATTCTTTTCATGATTGACTATTCTGGCTCCACTTAACCTAGAAGTTATGGTGATGGTACACTACAGAAAACCTATGTGAATCCCTGAAGGTGCAACAAAGCGTATTATGCGAGGTTTCAGGTCTAGCATGCAAGTGACCATGAGAGGAGCAAAGAGCCCCAAACATGCTGCATCTCTCTCTACAACAGCTACAAAAAAAAGAACTTCAAATAAAGAACATTTACTGAATGAACTAGGAAAAAAGAAAATTCTACAAGGTGAATATAATCGGATCATTTTGAAAGAATGAAGTAAAGAAGGAAGTATACAAAGTTATGCTGGCAGATCCCAGGAGAAAACAATAATAATCTATTTAAGCTGCTCAGTGGTTTGGGTATAGGTGGAACAGCATTGTCTGACCATCCTCTAACTCTCAACTGCCCAACAGCATACCAGCCTTTCATCCTGACTGTACGTCACAGCTGTGTCTGGCCAACTCAAATGAGCTGAGCAGATTCAAACACATCCATTTTGTGCAACAAGATAAACCTTAGTGCTGCAGTTCTCTAAAGAAAATGTTAAGAAAAGCGTGTGGAAAAGGGGAAACTGCTTATATGAAATTAATTTTGTGGCAGGCCAAAGGCGTAGGAAATTTTAACCCAAACCATTGTTAGTTAGAAGCAACAAAACATGACTTTATACAGTCTGCAAACATCTTTTTCTGCAAAGACTAAAAATATATGATTCAGCCTTGTGTTTAATTTGGAGTATTTTTCAATGCTCAGTAACCTGTGGCTTGCTTACTTTGTCTTTCCTCTTCTTCTTCAATGACTCATTTACCCAGTTCCTTATTTTGTCACAATTACACATTACAGAAACTATCAAGTTATTCTTTAAAGATGCAATTCTACTGATGTATTTGACAAAAGAAGGGACGGTGACTATGGCAAAATGAGCTTTCTCTGCTTCTTCCTCGAGTATACTGGTAAAACAAAGATGATGTTCTTACCTCCTCTGACTGTTCCCTTGTTTGTACGGGTGAAGTTCTTCTTCCAACTGTAAGTCGATGGCAAGGAAAAGTCAGTCCCGAAACAGCTAGAGTCATCTACAAACAAAGCAATGATCGTTCATTAAAGCCACAGTCTCAATTGAGGGTTGTTCGGTGTGTTTTTTTAAGGGTGCTTTGAGATTCAAGCTGAAAACTACACTGCAGAAGAACAAATTAATTATACAAACATAAAGAAAGAAGCCTGGAAAACTAAAATGATTGCTTACATAAAAGTATTCAAAGAAATAACAACTGAGTTGTACAGGTATGTATACACAGAGTATCAAAACAAACTAAATGGAATTGGAAACTCAAAACTGTCTTGAATTGTTATTTTCTCTGGAATCAGTACTGAATTTTAAACCATTATTTGTACGTGCTAACTTTAACAGTGGTATGCCTTTATGAAGTAAATGTAATTTTTTCCTTCCTGATCAATACAAAAATGTTAAAGGAAAAGCCAAGAGGTGCAGATACTGAGTAAAAATAGTTAAGTCATCTTGAAAAAAGCAAACACATTCGTTATCTTGATATAACAGTTTATCAACAGTTGTCACAAAAGACACAATCACAATGGATACTTAAAAATACATTTAATCTCCATCTTAGTCATTACGAATGTCAAAGGCACACGCCATGTCTCTCATATGGACAGGGACACCCATAAACCCAGCCATGCTGGCGAAACTGCAGTCAGCTGAGACAGGATAGATGGTCATTTACCAGTGTCAACAGGAACAACCCTTTTGCCTGTTGCAATATGCCTAAACTTCAACTTTTCAAAATTAATGAGAGAGGAAAAAAGCCAGCAGCATTTGAAAGAACAAATTGCTACCTGCCTGCAAACACACAACAATAAAATTTGAAGATCTGATCCTACATTGTATTTAAAAATGTACTAATCAATACGATCAGTACATTGTGAATTGTCCACTCTTCTCTGATCAGGAAGAATCATCTGTGCCATCCTTGCCATTTCAAGCACCCTTCACACATTTCTTTATGCAGCATTAAGTGTACACCCATCCTTCTGCCTCTTCTGAAAAGCACATCAACCCTGGTCAAGCGAGGTTGATGACCAGAAGCAAAATCTTCTGAAGCACCTACACCGTATCTTTGTAACACGTGGCGTAAATTTACAATGTGAATAGCTCTTAAAAGAAGACAGCCAATTCCTTTTGGCAACAAATTAAGTTCTTGCAGACCCTGGACCTGACAAAATATTTGATGGTGTACAATTCTTGGTGATGTGGAGAAAGATAGTTCTCGCCATATGTTCAAAATATTGTTTCTAACGGTTCCTTCAGAAGAAACACAGAGGACGGAAAAAGATTTTCTAGATCCTATAAAAATGATTATTTTGTGGGGCGCAGATTGTGAGACTGCCAGTATGTATTTCAGAAATACAGCATCCTCCTAATTAGACTGTAAAACATTAGGGTAAAATAAATTTCAATCTTCCTTAACAAGAACTGAAGAATAAATCACAAGCTTTAAATTTCATTTACTGCCATGAGCACCGAAAATACCCCATTTATTTTTATACATAATTCAGAATGACTTTATCACTTGCCTGCTAGAACTCACAAAGATTTAATTTGCTGCAGGTTGAAGCAGGCTGATTAAGCAGGCTGGTAACCAAATGAATGTTAACCTGTCTGAACTAGCCTAGTGTCACATTCTCATAGCAAGGTTAAACAGAAGTTTAGCTGCATACAAAGCCCAGCTATCGTCTTAAAGGAAGTGAGCAATAATACTCTGGAGCAAATGAAATATTAAAGACGACATACAGGTCAAGACCAATTACCCATGAAACTCCTGTGACGAGCATAAGAACTGTATTCTCTGTAGTAACCCACCAGTTTAATTAGTATTTTTATAAGCTTTTAATAATAAACAAACCTCGACTGTTATAAAACCTGAAACTTTGCCCTGTGTTTACCACACTATATAAAATACTGGTAAAACACACACACAGGCACGCCAACCACACACGGGCTGAAGTCCCCTATGTAACAGCATCAAATACCCTGACAGATGCCTGGAAAGGCTCCCGATATCTTTTACATACACATTAAAGACAGAGTGGTAAGATCAAGCAAGCAGTTATTGTGCTGCTTCATCACTTGGCCCAATAGCAGGGTGTTGCAATTCCAATTTGCAACCCTATATTATAGTGTCAAAGCGTCTCTCAAAAATGAGCTAACAGCAGAAGGGGTTCGACATCAGAGCACATTTCATCCTACTCCCCAGACAGTTGCTGGAATGTTGTTTTTTTGTGAACATTCATGTGAGAAATCGCCTTCCCCTTTGGCTTTTTTGAGAATGTTTTTTGCAAAGTAAAGGCTAGGACAAATAGAAGCTCCGCCTTTCATTTCAAAACAAGCTAGCAACATGAGAATTTCTCCAGAACTAAGTTATCTTCTTTCTAAGATAAAGAAAGAGTCCTCTCTCAAGAGAGACTATTGCACCAGAAAGTTAATCCTTATGTTGGAAATTATAAAAACATCAATACTAAGCAAAAGATTACTTTCCAGGCCGTTCAGTCCAGTGCTGGGGACAGCAAAGCTCAACTTTCACAAATATTTTGAACACTGATGGGAGCACTTGCTGAGTGTCTCATTGGCAAGAACTGCTTAAGGTATCAGGCTGCTCTCAGAGAGTTTTTCCTAAATACTGCATTTGCCAACTCCCAAACAGGGTTGCTGTACATTAGATGCATGAAACGCTGTGTCGCAGTAAGGGACATAACCTTTTTATCAGCTCCAAAACTGAAAACACTGGTCTGTAGCCTGAGCACCTGATTATCCATATTCTCAATTCATGAACCCTTCTGATTGGGCAAACACTCCAAAGTCACTAACTTTTCAGAATTATTTCTTTTTCTGCATGAAAATCACCATAATTTGATCACGATAGCTTCAATTGGATGGCTTTCATGTGCACAAGAAGAGATACTGAAAGTCCAGACATAGGCAGGACTCTTGGCACAAGCTAGACAGATTATCGAATAAGTAATACACTAAAGCAAAACTAAATAAGGTTATTCCACGTTTTCTAGGCAGTATATCCACACATGTGCAAGTCCCTACTCAGAAGGTCTCACAGCTGAAAGGTACAGGAGGAGGAAACAGAATCAGAAATAGGCAAAATGACTTGCAAAAAGCCACTCAAGGCAATTACTGAAAAGCCAGATCTTTTGTCCATCACTACGTATAGACTGCTCACGCTTGTTGGAAGTTTAAAAAGTCTTCCATTTTCTATAGCTTTTTTAAGGAGAAGGAAAATAAAACTGAAGGCTCAAAACATTCCAGGGAGAGTGGCAGTAGGAGAATCCTTTTAGGAGACAGCATAGGTATTTAAACAAATGGATTGCTACTGACATGCAAATAGGTAATGGTACAACCTGGACTAAAAGCACACAGAGGATGCTTGAAATAATATTTTAACTACTAAAAGAAAGACTGCTACCAAACTTTACAACCTAGAGAGAAAAGAAATGAGCCTAATGCTCACTTGTGCTTTCCAACACTAAGACACTGAATTTATTTGTAAACGTTCAGTGTAAGATGATTTGTATTTCAATTGCCAACAGTAATAATTGGGGGATAAAGTTAAGCAACATCTTTTCTGATCTGAATGTGCAGGATTCTTTGCCAAGAACTTTCCAGATCAACCTAGAAATATTTGCCAAATCCACAGCAAGACCAGGTGCTTTAAACAATAGATTATTCTTCCTGTTAGAAAGTATCATTTTCATGCAGAAGCTTCTAGAAATATGCTTTAGAACAATCTATACAGGTTGGTGGGGTTGGTTTCTTTCAAATCTGTCTGCAGCAGGAGAAGAAATCAGGAACAGCATGCAATTCCAGACTGCTGCCATCACACGCTCAGAATATGGGAAAAATGAGAAGTCCATAATCTTACAAGGCTGCAATCTTCTAGAAAGACTTCGTTAGCAAGAATTAATTCCCACTCTTGCAGACTTCTGAAATTACAAAGGAAGGAGCAAACTCAGTCTCATGAACAAGCCGAGAGATACTTAATGAAGACACTAAAGACCTCAGAAGGATAAGCAGTATTATGGACATGAAGCAACAATTGGAGAACTGCAGCTACAGAACTCTCTCTGCCAAGAAACGCCAATACAAAAGTTATAAGCTCAGTGTACTGCATCAGGAAAGTAGTAATTGGCTATGACAAATTGTTCTTCCTCACATTCAGCCACACACTGATGGAGATAAACAGCACTTCAAAAGAGCTTCTAATGGCAACCGTATCTAATGAAGAAAGCATGAAGGCAATCCCTAAGAGCTTCCTAATACTTTACAGAATACAGTTGGACATCCAAAATGGCCAATTTATACCAATAATCTGTAAAGAGCTAGATCTTCTTCCTCATCCTCAACTATCACAGTCATTTTGGAAATGCTCTCTCTTTACTCCATATAAGTACAGAGACAAGTCTCCCCAGTGATCTGAATAAAACACTGAGAACAAATCTTCGTGTCACTAAACTGCTTGTATTTGAGTCAAAACAAACTTCAGAAAATAAATTATGGTAGGAAGACAGGCAGGCTCTTGAAGCACAGCATTTACAGACTAAACCATTAGGCCTGTTATTACCCTCTCAGTGCTTATAATTGCAAAGTATGGCCTTTCCAGAGGGATGAGATGGAGAATGACCTGCCAAATTGCTGCCAAGAGAGTCAACGATCTTTAGTAGAGCCGCTTCCATATCAGCTAGCTCTGGAGCAAATCAAACTGCCTACTGCAGTCACCAACAGCAGGAAAACTTCCCCAGGAACTCCAGAGTTTCACAGGTGCAGTAGGTGAGAGAAGTCTGCAAAACATGTCACCTCTCAGGAGATGAGAGCCCCAGACAGGTAATGGACCTGCTCTGGCACGACTTGAGAGGTTGTGCTGTTCACAGGATGCTTCTTGTCAAGGGATCCCCTTTCTCTAAAAGCATGTAGCTCTTTTAACATGAAACATTGAAAACAAACAAATGATAATGTTTAAGGCAAGTAGGAATATTGATTTATTTTGTGCTGTTT